CATATACGAACTTTGGAGATAGAAAGGGAACAAGAAGAACATGAAGCTGAAAGAATAAGAAAAAAGAGTGAAGAAGATCGTAAAAATGCAGAGTTAGCAGAACTTGCTAGAATAGAACATCAACGCAAACAATTAGAAATGAAACAAAAAGAAGAGCAAGAAAAAATAAAAAAAGAGAAAGAAAGACTTGCAGAGGAAAAAAAAAAAAAAGAAAATATAAAAAGCCTAGAGGATCAATTAAAAAAACAGCAAGCTATTCAGCAGCAAGCAACCTCATCAAAACTAGTTGGTGACTTTAATCGTGTCGCAAGTGAAAGTGCTTTAAAAGAAGCAGCAAAATATGAAGAACATATAACTCGAATAAAAACTCATCTTTCAAAGAAAGGCACTAATATTAGTAAAGATCATTCATATCAAGTTAGAAAAAATGTTATTGCAAGCTTCAACACCATAACTGATCATAAAAATGATGTTATTAGATCTGTAAGTAGATATGAACATCTAATAAATATTATATTTAAATAACAATAAGTGTTAATATTTTATATTTAGGCAACTGAATTATGCAAAATATTATCAGATTCCAAAATTAATCAATATTTATATCATTATGCATTAAAAGTGATATCAAAAAAATTTATTGTAAGTATCTTTCTATCTTACTATCTATCATATCTATTATTTTATATCAATTATCAATAAATTTTATTGTTATTAATATTTTTAAAATTTTGGATCTAAAAGAAATATGCAGAAATTGACTCAAAAATGATATTTAACTTAGCTCATGTTGCTGTTTTAGTTTCTTCACAAGCACCAGAACTTGTTGAACAATACCTCATGCCTATAATGTATAAAAATTGTTGTTATATACTTCCAAGATATTATAACAGGCAAAGTGTAAGTGGTTGGTAATAATATATGTATACTATTGTTATTTTTATCATTTTAATTTATTTTTATTAATTAATAATATTATGCAATAATTGTAATTAGGGCCAATCTGAAGAAGCTTACAAAAAACAAATTGGATATAAAATCAGTAAAGATGCTGATGATCAATATGTAGAATCTGATGAGTCTTACATAACAAGAATGTGTAATATAGCTGGCTTATATTTTGCAATAATGCAAACTGATCCTTTATTTCCAAGTAATTTTCTATAATTGTTGGTTTGATTTATTTAAAATATCAATCATGATTTTTAATATAATCTTTCTATCTAGATATAGAAAAACCTATACCAATAACCGATGGATTTAAATGGATTTCTAGAATAATGAACTTAGTACCACGTCAAATTACCCCATCTCTAGTTTATACATGTTTGACTGTAAGTCAAAGTATTCTATTTTACAATCAAATATCAGAATCCAATTTGATAATAAATTATTATTTATTTTGTTTATTTTTTTGACAGATTATTCCTGTTGAAGTGCATAAGCATTTTAAACATGATGCATATACATTATTCAGTTCAATATACCGACATTATTTCTTAAACCCAGTACAAGAATTTATTGATCTTAAAAATACTGCGCCAGCTGCTTTATCAAGATTAAATACTTTAATGGATGAAGCAGCTAAAAACAAATTTATGTTTCCAGAACACAAATTAAAATATCTAAAAGATTAAAGGAAGGGAGAAACTAAGTATTGTTTTTATTTTTATAAATAAATTCAATTTAGATTTAATATTATTTTAATAATAAACCAAATTTTGGTTATATTTTTATTCTTAAAGTACAGTTTAAATGTAATTTTTTTTTGTATAATTAATAATTTAAAAGCTATCACTTGTCATATTTACAAAATCAAATTGGGTTGTTTAATTAGAATCTGTTGCATGAAATTATGATGATGGTGGTGACCTCAAATGTTAATTTTTTAATAATGTATTTTTGAATATCAAGAATGTATCACAAATCAATTTTTAACATTAAGGGAAATCTCAATTCAATTAAAACCTTACAATAATTGATTATATGGGATTGATGGTAAAATTTATGAGGTTCTTAGATTACTTCATTCCTTAGATTAAGTTATTTCAATCTGTTAATTTTTTTCTTCACTTTTTCAAGAGGTAATAACATACATGTACATGGTAACTTATTCAAAGAATCCAAGTGTTTTTTCATTTTTTGTTGTTCTTTTTGAATTTGAACTTGATTTTCAGTTAGTTTTTTTTTTGCTGGATCCTATCATAATGTCTTTTATTTTATTTTAGTTTCCGGTCACTATCCTCTCCATGTTAACTTCTCAGATATTAGGATTATTATTAAGATCCATACTAGTTGATAACAATGGAATAGAACCTAAATTGGAGGGAACCTTTTTTTTATGCTATAATACATAGATACTAAAAACCTATTTATTTGGTATACACTCACCTGCCAAAATTATCCAGTTGCTTTTGGCAGGTGAGTGTATAATTTATTTGGTATATAATATAATTTATTATATCCATCCGGAATGTTGCTATCTCTAAGGTCTGTTACCATTTTTTTTTTGTTCCGAATCTTGCTATATATGAAAATGTAGCAATGTATTACTATGATTTGTGGATGGAGAATGCAATCAGAAACTTCGAGATGAAAAGCATCAATAATATATTGATATAGATAGTATTTTGGTTTGTTAATTGATGAGTAAAGATGTTTTGGAATTACTATTTCAGGATCTTCATTCACATAATTCTCTTTTGAGCTGATCCATGCTTGCTGTTTGATAAAATTATTCAGACTTCCTCTATGTGGAGGAATTTGATTTATTTTTCATGTTGCTCTGATTGCAAAGCAATACTGATAATAGGGAATATTGAGCCCTAATCCTATTGGATTGCTTAGGTGTTTTTAAGAAATCAGGTCTTGGTCATATTTATTTTGGCAAAGTGGACACCACCTATTATGTTTATATAATTAAAATCTGCCATTCATGGCAATGCCATCATAGTGGAATATGGCAATTGATGATATAAAAGACATTCACCGTTTTTACTATATGCAATTCGTTTAGCTTCCTCAATATTGTTTGCAAAATGTGTACACCATGTATTAGAATTTTTTATATGATTAAAATTTGCATGCTATATTGTGGGTGTTCTGTGGCTGTTGATCATCAAACATGTTACTATTACACAAATTATCATGTGCGGACTTTTTAGTTCTAAATGTTGATAGCAAAATTTGATCAAGAGTATATTTTTTTCATGATAAAATTAAACAGAGCCTTTTGCCTTATCCTATTTGGTTATAAAGTTTATCTATTAGCGATTTTTTTTCAATGTTTTTTACATATAAAAAATTTCTTTATTTGGTAAGAAAAAAAATTTTTTCTATAGCCTAAAAGCTTGATATATTTAATATAATTTCCCTTGGTTTCATGTTTTATCTCTTTAGCTGATACAATATTTATTTGTATAGTTTTTATATATTTTTTTATTTTTAAAAAAAAGTGTATTATTGACATTACGTTATATCACTTAATTTTTGATTTAATTAGGACATCTCATACCCAGTGCCATATGTACCCTTTAACACAATGACATAATAAAGCTGAACGAATATTGACAAATATTTCGGAAAGACACTCCATTTCTATTATGTGCTACCTGTTTTGCATCTTCAATAGTACAATGGCACACATCTGCGCACACGCCATGGATACCAAGTACAGTTTTTTATATTGCTAAGTTGAGCATCCTATTCATGCCCTTCAGTACAACGTCATCGCAATGGAATGTGGCAATTGACATATTTACCTGAGAGGCATAAACTGCCTCGTTCTTTTGCAATTTCTTTTGGATAGTAAAAGAGGTTTGTTTCCAACACAATATGGATGCCGAGATCTAGCATACTTAATATGGGAAAATTTGATACTCCATTCATGCCCTTTAACACAGCGCCATCTTGTGGAATATTGCAACTGACATATTGATCTGAAAGGCACAAATCACCTTGTTTTGTTGCAATTTCATGTGCATCTTTTACGGAATAATTAGTTTTACAAGACATCAAGAATAAAAATACTCCTGCTTTTTAAATTTTGGCGAATCTTTAAAACATTTAGTAAGTTTGGAGTAATTAAAAACAAAAACACCAATCAAGATCGAGCCGAATTTGGGAGGCAGTTAGAAATGATGATACAAAGAAAGACGATAAATACCTTGGGATTGCTCTTATTTCAGAGAAAACATAAGACTTTCTGGTTGGTATGGATTCATTTATCATCATTATCCTTTTATGAAAATTATTGAATATACTGTTCCTCAATGGGATGATCTTAAAAAGAGCAATTACATAAGGCATTAGAGTTGCAATCTCAACATAACAGTATGCCTATTTAATTCTGGTCAAAAATAGATTAATACTAATACTCCATGATTCATAAACAGATTGTTAAAGATATCTGATTGACATTAAGGTAATAGTTGGCGAAGCATTGTCACAACATTCACACAATAAAAAACCCCCGTTATGACCTCTTCAAAACTATTTTTTGGGTACAGAGTGTTACGAAAGTAATTGACCTGTAAATTTGTTTTCTAAGGAAGTAACAAAATCCAAGGCAACATTATGAAAAATTATATCAGAGGGTCAAGAGATTTTAGCATATTATTATGTAGGTTTTGGAGTAATGATTGAAAAACTTTACATTAAAATTTTTCTTCTTTTTCAAAAACAAGTAAATTTCTTTTATTTTTAATTGATGAAGTTCTAAAAAATATGGACACATATAATTTTATATCCATAATCCTCAGAATATAAGCTACGAATTGCTATGTTTTTTTGTATAATTATTATGCGTGTTTTTGTGTTAGAGCGATTGTTAAAAAAATTACATGTTAAAATTTCAGAGACAAAATTTAAAAAATTGGCCAATTTTTTTCGTAACACACTATATACCGTAAAGTCTGGAAAGACAGCATCCCCTTTTTACATATTGACGCTCAATTGTTTTAAAGTAGGGGTGCATCTTTCCAGACTTTACGGTAAGACGAATGGGCTCGTTCTCGTTAAATAAAAACTAATTTTTTTTTATTGATAATTCGAATATAGTAAAAATAAATACAATAATAATAATAATAATAATAATAATAATACCTAATAACTAATAATACTAATGATTTAAATAATTTTAATAGTATATTAACACATAAAATTTTGAAAAGCATCTAAACATATTAAAAATATACTTTTTTTAAGTAGGGGTAGCTGTAGGGCTGTCGGTAGGGGAACTTTGTCCGTTACATACGTAGTCTGACCCACCACATGTTTGGCCTGTTAGACAGCAAAAATTAACAGTAACTTTGCAACAAACGTCACCTGGTTGACAGCAACCATCACCACAAACTGGATCAGTAGACTGACATGGAACTGAGCATTGGCTGTCGCCACATGTTCCACTAGGACAACATCCTCCAAATGGACACGGGGAAAGACCGTTTGGACAATCACCTCCCTGGTTTTTCAGAGATCCTGAGTTTGATTTTGTAACAACAATTCCTTTCTTCAAAGTTGAAAGAAGAGGAGCATCTCTTTTCCGTCCCAGATTTGCCCCAGTGACGATAAAGACGTTGAAAATTATGGTGACGAGAACAAGAAGAATTAATGTAAACTTCATGATGATTTTTATTTGTGAGTGTTTGAATGATTGAAATTTTTTTTAAAAAAAACTTAGATAAGGTTGTTTATTTATAATAAATCATTGTGATGATATTTAAAGGTTGGAACCGGTCCAGGGACGATGATTTTCTGCAATATTACATAATCAAGTAAAGTTGCCGGATAATGTAGAATTGATAATTTACCGCACGATCAACATAAAAAATCATAATTAGCCTTGATGTATTCTTTCTGTTTAGGTAATTATTTATTCGCAAATCATTTATCAATCGGGAAGTTTTTTATACAAGATCGGCAGGGCTAGATTTCTAACAACACAAATTTCAAACATATTAAAATCTATTACTAGTTCGTAAATGAGCACGCTTATGTCATAATGTATGCTAAAAGAGTAATTTTATTTATAGAAACAGTAATAACAGAAAATCGATCGGCGTAGATAATGTTTTTTGTCATTTTCTGTGTGTTACGATTTAACAAACACAGTAAATCATTCTATATTCCCTAAACGATCTGCGAATTAAAAATATATTTTTCGATGATGGTAGATTTGAAACTGGGTATTGGCCTCAAATGGTACAATTGAAAATAGGAA